AGTGGTGCTATAAGCTTTTGGTAAAAGCACTGTTCAGCCATAAAAGCTCTCTATTGTTGTTGCCTGAACACCAAAATGCTGGCTTAATGTTGTGTGGAATGCAAATTTGCTTTCTGCAGCATATTTGCTCTAAAATGAGGTGTTTAAAATATTCTTATAGCATAGTTATACAACACCTTATAGGGCAAATCTTTAACTGTTGCATAAACGTTTATACAACTATTTTATACAGAATATTTGTGCAGTAGTCAAAATAGTTGTGCTGTGGCATCCATGGTAACGTTTATATAACAAACCCGAGCCTTGTTGTTTTGCCGTGCAAATTTACTACTTTAGCCAACAAATTGCTCCCAACGGAAGTACTTATACAACTGTCGTGTAGTAACTGTTAAAGGCTGTACATCTGTAGTACAAAAATGCTATGCTCGGCGTACATTTGTTGCTAAATATGTTGATATACAACATAGCCCAACATTCTGCTGTCATATTTTTGTTAAAATGCCACAACCAACGTTTTAAGACAAACATATTGGTTCAAAAGGTTTCATCAACTGTTCAAGCAGAAGATTTAGATCTGATACAAATTCTGGGTAAATCATTTGACCCTGTCGGTATTTCATTTCAGTCATTTGTCAAATTGTTGTATAACACCTGCAGACAACACCAAAATATTCTAATAAACCAAAGACAACATGGACGATGCCATGATTATACATAACCACCCGCCATATTGGGCAAACATGTATTGCTCTATTTAATATGAAATAATTATGTTTCAGTTCGACATTATACAGGGTGTCCCCAAAGTTGGGGATGTCCTTTTCAGAAACAACTACCCTTGAAATAACAAAGGTAATGTGTAGTGAAACGAGGGCGACCAAGTAAAAAAAAATAAAGGAAAAAGTACTCACTCTCCAGTTGACCAGAAGGACTAAGGCGTCTCTGCCCGAAATCATACCGCTCCAACAGGAAATGAAATCAGCTGATGCGCTACCGAGCAGACGCAGGCGGTTGTGCAGACCACGAACAGAGGTAACAAATATGACGGCGTTGCCGCGTTTTTAGTTTTTAGATAAACGTATAGGTATTGTTCGAAGTTATCGCCGTTTGATTCAAAAACACAGGTGCGTGCACGACGTAGCCAAGCATCGGTGCAGGCTTTGAGAATGGAGTCCCTCCCCCGAATGAAAGCACCAGCTTGTTCAATTCTGAGACGAAGTTCGTCAACCGTATGCACTTCAGTTTTGTACACTATGCGTTTCATTTCTCCCCAAAGAAGAAATCACATGGTGTTAAGTCTGGAGATCGCGAAGGCCACGCTACGGGTCCATTACGTCCGATCCACCTATTCGGAAATAATTCATTCAAAAACTCACGCACGTCGTGTCTAAAATGGGGCGGTGCACCATCGTGCAGAAACCACATTGATTGTCTTACACTTAATGGCACATCTTCTAACAAGGAAGGCAAAATGTTGCGTAAAAGGTCTAGGTATTGCATCCCGTCCAATCGATTTGGGAGAATAAATGGTCCAATGAGCATACCGTTCACCATGCCAGCCCAAACATTCACCGAAAATGCTTGTTGAAAATGTGCCCGACGGACAGCGTGCGGATTTTCTACTGACCAAACATGAGTGTTGCGAAAGTTATTCACCCCATTACGCGTGAACGTAGATTCGTCTGTCACCAATATGCACTTCAAAAAGTCCGGATTATTGTCATGTTGATGCAACAACCACTCACAAAACCGCACTCTTGCTGGAAAATCGTCAGGTTGAAGGGCTTGTACACGATGGACGTGAAACGGGTACAGCCCCTCTTCACGCAGCGTTTGCCACACTTTAGTTTTTGATACTTGCACTTCTCTAGCCACGTCTCTAGTGCTTGTTGAGGGATTCTCGTCTACGCGATTCAGTAGTTCTTCCTCAACTTGCACCATTCGTGGTTGTCTAGGCCTCTCACTGTGCCCACATCGAAATTTCTCCAAATGGCCGGTATCCCTGACTCTCTGGACCAGGTACACAAATCTGCGGGGCCTTGGATGATGTCGTCTAGGGAAACAATCTGCATACACTCGCGAAGCCTCTGCAGCATTTTGAAGACATTCACCATAAACTAACGCAATCGATTATACGGGTTCGTTTACCTCTACACGCGTGACCGTAACCGTCGGTTGAAGGTTGCATACTGACCTGACACACTGACCCCGACCCAGTTCTGTCGTCGGGTTGAGCCAGTGACCTTGTACCACTCGGTGATGTCGCGGGTCGCGGCTACAGGACGGTATTCAGATATTTTTGATATTGCAGAGCCCTTTGTCTCGGTTCCTTTAAGACATTGGTGTATATGGTACTAAGAAGAATTGCTTATGTTTTCAAGATCTACACGTCGTGTAAAGGAAAACACCAACTTTGCGGACACCCTGTAGATATAAAATGATAAACATTAGTGTAATTGTGTTTAAATATAGGATTTGTGGAAGATTTAACGCAGATAAGTTCAGTTTTCTATCTTAAGAATCTAGACATACTTTTGATCATCATTAAAACATGAATCAAATACGAAGCCCGTAGAAATTTCGTAGCTACTTTGCACGATAGCCACAATAAAATTTGCTGCGCAAGTAATTCAATAGCCTTATATCACAGTGTAGAAGTTTATCATACACCAGTTCGTCTATACAATACATAAGAAATAGTTTGGTTGCAATAAAGTAGAATCATGTAACAAAATAGTTGTATAGTTGACAAAAACTGAATCTTGCATTGACGCAAATGTCCTATAGCAGCTGCAAGAGGCTTACACTTTTGTTGTATAACTGTTTCCTGTACCTCTTATGTAACCTCTTAAATGACTGAAGTGTCCTATCAGGTGTGCCCATTCCGCTTGTATAGCTGTTCTAAGAGGGTTTTGCCAATGTTCTGACAGTATACAATGCTGTGTAGGGAATAGTGTATAATCATTCTTGCAACCCTAATAGGAGTGATAATTGTTAGTTGGGTAGCATCCAAGAAAAACGGCAAAACTGTCGTATTCGGCGATATACCGCATGCACACCAACCATACTTCCATGCTCTTCAAACCACTGATTAGCGATGGCTCGAGTACTACTGTATCTGTCTCATAGAGCCAAAAATCTTAAGCGACGGTCTTGTCGCTCTGTGGTCCCGCTGGGATGTCGAGAACCCCTCGCTCGCTGTCCTCGGCCTTCCTGAGTCAACGCTCGTCCACATTGCAGTTATACTGCGTGAGGATCTGCTGGTCGTCCGTACTACAAACTCTTATCGATAGACCGGCTTCACGCAGCCCGACAATTCGACCCCTAGCTCTCAAAGTCACTTAGCTGGGATACGGCGAATTCCACGCACTCTAGGTATTTTGAGCAAACACAAACATGCTTCTCAATAAGCTATACGAAATCTAACACTGAACTGACACCGTAAATGTACGAAAACTGAATGCCTCTTCATCACCAAACACTTAACAGAAAAACCTGAATTTAATCCCATGTTATTCATGGCAAGTTATATCGATATCTAAAAAATTCTAATAAACATACATAGGTGTTTACCTTTTTGTCAATCAGTTTAATTAATAACAATAATTGATTTTAAAGCTTGATAATATAATTTCTGGACACGTATTCAATGTTTCTATTATACAGTTGCAACATAAAATTAATGGTTTATGAACTTTATTTAAACTCATTGTTTTACATCTATTCACTCGCGATATTTTCTTTGTTGTTTGAGTAAATAAATATTGCTATTATTATTGTACCCACTATAATGATTCAAATGACACAATGCCATGGTGGAACAACAAACCATTATTTAATAATATCCGACTTCTCAAAATTATGGTGGATGCATGTGATTGTGTGGTGTATTGTTGGGTGTAGTTTCAACACGTTTCATGATTAGGTTTGTGAAATTAACATGTGACATATACGAGATGATGCTCATTTGAAGGACTCTTTCTTCCTCCTCCGCTATTGTTTGTTTCTTGAGGAATTTACATTTCTGATTAATGTAGATGTTGAATAGATTATGATGTGAAGGGTGAGATTTGTTAAGAAAATTCTTGTGAAATGGGGCGTTTGCATGAAGGTGTTTCCTAAAAGGATGTTCGATTTGGTAATTATTGTTATTAACTTGGTCAATTTTAGATTCCTGTAGATGCTAATAATGGATGTTAGTGAAAACTTGAGGCAGAATGAAGAGTATTACTCAATGCTTGTTGACTTATTATTGGGGAGATTCCCATTATTACATAACGAAGATTATGGTGAAGGCTCTGATCGATGGAGCCACAACTTCTGTTAGTGGTAGCACTCCCACCATATTTTACAATCAGTTAGCTTTAGGTGTACTTTCACCATAATCTAAAGTTGTGTTAGGTTAATGCATTGAGCCGTACTCATAAAACAAAGGATATCCTTGTACTTGCAAATTTTGAAGGAAATCCTCCAGATGGTATTGAGTATTGATAATAATTTAAAGTAAATGCTTTTGCTTTTTGAGTATAAGCATATCCTTCAAAGCAGTGACATAAGTAAAAGAATATTCATAATCTTCACCTTATACTTGGCATAGGAAGCATATTTTCAAAAATTCTGAGTGTCAGTATCAGACTCGACTTCGTAACAAAAGGTGGTCAAACAATGATGGAGGAAGTTTTGGATGTTAAAACGTACAAACCTCGTTTACCTTCACCAGGTCGTGCATTCAATAAATTATATCGGTTCGACGAAGCAAATGTACAATGGCTTGCGGACAGATCTTTAGTCGAGAATGAGGAAACCCGAGGAGAAGCACTTTCATGTATTCATAAAATGAAGATATGTCTACGCTATCTCGGTGACCCTAGATATCAAAGAGGTATTGTTAAGGAATTTGGTGTTGGACAAGCAATGGTATCTCGGACTGTGGATAGAGTTGTGAACAGCATAGTTGCACAGTCGAACGAATCAAGTTTACAACTATCAACCATGAACTGATGGAGGCCAAACGGACATGGCAAAGCATGTATAAATTTCCGACAGAAATTGGTGTAATTGCTTGTACACATATAGGAATCGTGAAACCAAATCGTCATGGAGATGAGTATATCAACCGAAAAGGGAAACCTACTTTAAATGTGCAATCCACTTGTGATGCCAGTTCACAAGTGTTGATGCCAGTTAGCCTGGATCAGTGCATGGTTCCAGAATATGGAGAAATTCACAGACTACATCACAATTAGTAAATAAACCAAATGTTGTACTACTCGTACTTGGCGATCACGATTATGGTATTGAGCCATTATGACTCCCTTCAGAGATCCTACTCCAGGTGCAGAAATAAATTATAATAAGCTTTTAAAGCAAGAAAGAGTTATAACTGAACGCTGTTTCGGAAAACTGAAACGCCGGTTTCCTATCCTACAGTATGTTTGCCGCGTAAAGTTGGAAAATGTGCCGAAAATAATTATTGCTTGTATTGTACTCCATAATGTTGCGAAGAGCTTGGGTGATCCTGACTTTGATAATGACGAACTTCCTCTCCGTCCACTAGGTCAACAAATAAGAAGAAACTTGAGTATTATAATAAATAGTTTTACTGATTAAAGTATATTTATAAGTTATAATAAGTCTTATTTTCGTGAACATCATAAGTTACAGGTGGCTTCTGACGCTTCATCATTTCTAATTTCGTTTTATAATACTCTTGTTGTAAAATACTTGTTTGGTACTGCTGTAATAGCACTACACGTTGCAGTTCTTTTGTAGCTAACTCTTTGGTTTCCTCAGTTTCGTATTTCTCTGTTGCTAATTTTCTTTTTGGTGGCAATAATAATAATAATAATAATAATAATAATAATAATAATAATCCGGCTTTATTTATACAAAGTATAAAAAGGCGCTAAAAAGCGTTTTTCAACTTGACCCAACAAATATTTATGTACATTTTCTAATCCCAATGAAGACAAGAAGTTAAAAAAAAAACCTGTAACGAGTCCCTATTCATTGCCATGGTCTACTTACTGGTCAATGAAATCTGAGATAAAATGCTTCAATCTTTTTTTGAAATTCTTTATAGAGTAGTGAGTGAACTCGGTAGGCAACGCGTTGTATAGCTTGATAGCAGTATATACATACAGGCTTTTAAATAGAGACGTTGAATGTCTCGGGATAACCAAGATATGCTTATTCTTTGTGTTCAGTTGATTAACATCTGAGTATCTGATAAAGTTCGTTGATAGATATGGAGGGGCTTGTGTTGCGATTACCTTATGGATCAAGGTCAATACGTGCAATTTTTGAAGCTCTTCTATTTTTTTGAACACCCAGCTCATGATATTTATGTGACACAGACTCAAATTTTCTCACTCCACAAGCAAATCTGAGACACGCATTTTGAATAGTCTGAAGTCTGCTTATCTCAATCGATCTTAGTTCAGGCCCCTAAATACAGTCATAGTAGTGAATTCTAGACCATATTAAGGTTTCGCACAACTTCAGCTTGAGACCAGTATTCAAACTTTTCCTATGAGGAAATAATTGCTTCAAGACACCGAATGATGTTCGGCACAGTTGACTAACGTGTTTTTGAAACCTCAAATCAGAATCAATCCAGAGTCCTAAATTCTTGCACTCATTTTTTATTGGGATCGGTTGATCTAAAATGCTCAATGATAGTAATGGCTTTGCCTGACCTTTTTTGATTTTTGGTCCAAATATAACTGCGGATGATTTTAACGGTGTCTTCTTTAAATTTCTTCTGAATTGCTGGCGCTGTAATACTAACTGTTTGCTCACTGCTCTCGGTATATAGTTAGTCCACTTCCTTCTTGAACACTACCAGCCTCTAATGGCACGTCTAATTCTCCCAATTGTAGGATTACAGTCAGGTTCCATAGCTTTCAGCAACTTTCTTTCCCAATCTAACAAGTTAATTGCTTCATTACCAGTTTTTTTTAGATCTGCTTTTTTCTTCAATCTTGATTTCATGTTGTTGATTTTTTTTTTAGTAAGCCTTTAGTATCTAATGGTTTACCGAATGTTGATTCGCATTTTTTCAACTTCTTCAACGCATCGTCCTTTCTCATTTTTATTTTTGGAACTTATGACTTTTGAAAAATAATGGGAGCAATGGCCATTTCATCTGCGATGAACTGCAGGTCGTTGCCATTATTTTCTATAGTTTCCTCATCACTTGAGAATGACATGCTTATTAATTTGATAAAAAACCGTATGCAGTAAAAATATGTACGGAACGGTCTGTGTAAGCTCTGGAGTACAACTGTTAGTGATGCTCAGTGAACGAACTCCCACGTCAACTACAAGCTGGAACAAGTCAGGACATGTCGTTCAAGATACAAATACCAGTCAACCTTTTATTGTTCTTGGAGGATATCCTCGCGAGTATAAGGTAATCATTATGAATATGAAAACAAGGATATGCTTATACTTCTACCGTCTTCTCCGAAGCGAGACCTTATACTTTTACCTTAGGCTTCCGAGGATATGCTTCTCTTTTATGAATACGGCTCATTCAATGAAACACGGAAATTGTAAGCATGCCACTGGGAGTGTCATATATATATATAGGTGAAAAATTAAAGCTTCCGCCTTTTGTTGGGTACTTCGACAAAATTTAAGCAAAGAGGACTCTTTATACTTTTTTAATTCTCTAAGACAGTGTCCCGCTCCTTGGCTTAACCAACACAGTCTACTCCATCAATTGCAACAACTGCAACCAAATATACATAGGTCAGACCTCCAGATCTCTTAAAGGAAAGATTACATCACACAAAAGTGATTCTAGGCTTCATCCTGAAAGATGCGCTCTAGCATCTCATGTTAACACAACAGGGCACTCTATGAATTACACAAGTATCAAAGTTCTTGATAAAGAAAAACATCTATCCAAACGTTTATTCCTGGAAATGTCCCACATTTTCATGGATAACAACTGAATCAACAAAAAAGACAGATGTTAAGCAACTGAATGTCATTTACCTATATTTGCTAAACTGCGAAAAATTGGAGAACTTACATGTCTCCCTAAATTTTGACTCTTCACAACCATAAATGGAATCTGTTTCTTGGTCGATTCCACCAATAAACTTCATTCCACTCACGATTTAGTAATAATTGTTAATTTAATTTCCCATTAATTAAAATATAGTTAATTCAACTGCCTCTGGTCGGTTTAACAATTTCTTACATAACATTCTGAAAATCACATCATCTGAAGTGATTTGGCAACGTGGCACACGCCCACAATTCGTTCCATCTTTCTACACAGACACTGACAACCTTCGGCCTTCTGTCAAAGGGTTCATCTCACTCATTATTCCATGACCACCATTTTGTGCAATCATCAAGTGGCTTCACGATGTAATGCTTTCATGTTCTAAAAATTTTGAATCTGTTTTTAACTTGTTCTTGTCACACATTTGTGTGTATTTTATATAATTTTGACCATTGTACCATCTATCCAGCTTTCACCATGTTACTGGGCGTTTCCCTCATCCTGAACGTAAACAACAATTAGCAACATCCTCACATACTACTGTAAGTTAAGCCAATTTAGATTCATTTTACACTATTGTTGCTACTGTTATCAATGTAATTGCAGCTCCTGATGATGATGGCAAAGTTCATTGAAAGCTAGACAGAATTAATAAAAGTATAAAGAGTCCTCTTTGCTTATATATATATATTTCAAAACTAGGATGGAGTATACTTAAGATTATGGGTTTAAACGTTTTCTGAGGCTGAATATATTTAGAGCGTACCCTCCGACTATCATGACGAAGCACACAACCTTTACAAAGCAGGGTAAACACGTTTATCATACCTCTTGTCTACTAACCGCCGGCAACGGACTGGCCACTAGCCGTTATCACGTACATGATCAATGTACCGCCGCTTAAGATTCGACATCAGCAGTTGGCCCCTTTCTGGTTGGTTGAATCTTCACGATGCCGTTACGTTAAAGCAAATGACGCGGAATATTCGCGCTATGAATTCATTATTACACACGGAGCGGTTTGTGGGTGAATTCACATTGAATTCGTGCTTTGAGGTTTGATAGAGATACTATGCGTCTACGAAGTTTAGATGACCGATTGAGTGTTAGTTGACCGTGTACGTAGAGTCAATTAATTTCTTTTATAGTGTTGAGGATCAATTTTTCCTTGGAATTCGGTATCAGGTTCACAAAACTTCTACAGCGCTTTTAAAAGTATACCTCTACATGTCTTTTGAAAAAGAAATTAATAGTGGGAGATGGCATTTTTGAAAATCAATATCATAAAAGATAATGGTAAAAAAAGGATTTGTTAAAATTTCTTTCACAGCTGTCTCTGTTAATCTCGATATAATGCTTTTTGAAAAGGTAGCCCTTTCTTACTTATTGAACGTGTCAAGATATACTATACATATAAATTCGAACACCCAGTTTAAATGGTTTTATTTTAATAAAATTTTGTATAAGTACTTAATGAAGCATAATAAGTAAATGATAAAAATTTCAAAATGATTGCACTGCTTTAAAGCCCTTTGATCTTTAATAATGTGTGGATGCACCCTGATGTGCTACGCATTCTCTAACGCGCCTAAGCATGCTTCTGATCAGGTGGTCAATGTCCTCCTGTGGTATCTCATTCCAGGCAATCACCAACTCCTCTCGAAGTGCTTATGGAGTCTGAGGAGGACGTTGCAAAATGGGCAATCTCCTAACCATCATATCCCACACGTGCTCAATTGGGGATAAGTCGGGAGATCTTGGTGGCCATGGTAACAATGTGACATCATTATGTTGAAAGAAGTCTATTGTGACTCTTGCAACATGTGGTCGGGCATTATCTTGTTGGAAAGTTGGATCTGCCAGGGTGTCAAGATAGGGTAAAAGATGGGGTTCTAGAGCTTTGTGGATATAACGCTGCGCGTTCATGTTATCTCTGATGAAGATTAAAGCTGACCTGGAACCATAAGCTATAGCACCCCAAACCATAACTCCAACAGTGTGATGAACATGTCTTTCAACAAAAAACTATGGATTCCTCCTTTCACCACGTCGCCTTCTAACCCTGGCACGACCATCGTGGATGCCTAAACAAAATCGAGACTCGTCACTAAAGACAATACTGTTCCATTCCTGATCCCAGAGTGACCGTTGTCTGCACCACTCAAGGCGATTACGTCGGTGTTCTCGAGTTAAAGGGAGGACCCAGTGTGGCCGGTATGAAAACAA